CCAGTAGCCTGGAAAAGCAGAAGAAATGACACAAGGAAGAAGCTCCAAGCAAGCACCGGTGTATATCCAAAGGTAGAGTCCAGCTGTCTGAACTGGACTAGTGATGTAAAGATTGGCCATTGGGTGAGAAATACCTTATGCCGCAGCCAATTTAACACCCAGGGCATCTCTCCAGCAGGGTAATCTCTCCTGCTTATCTGTTTGCTTCTGGATAGGGTCCAAGGGGTTGGTTTTGACCTATAATGCCATACATGGCTTGCAAACTGACTATTTCAGAGATCACCTTTTTTCCGTGCCATACAGCTGTAGTTAGCAGAGGTGCTTGAGATCCCTTGGCATTGCTGTAATTCCTGTTGACCAAAGGGGAATAAAGGCATGGAGAGCCCAGCCTAGGGTTCCCAGATTCCTGTTCTAACCACTGCACCATCTTTCCTCTTCAGCCTGCAAGGCAGATGCTACTGCCCATCAGAGTTCAGGGAAAACATACTCCCATAACATTCCACTTCAGTAGGCTGAGCATCAGGCTGGGTAGGTCTTGAGACTGCTCCAGAAGGCAGGACACTGAACATGATCCACTATTGGTCCTTCCTGTACAATGTCTTCCTCACTTGCGGTGTTGTGGCTTGCCCTGGTTCAGGCCAGGGATGGTTAGAGCGTGCATGATCCTCTCAAGCCTAATTCAGGTTGTGCACACAACAGGACAGAGACTGGATCTTTCTCTGTCATGGTGCTGAGCAGGCAATGAGAAATCCCCTCCTGCACCTGAGTAAGAAAATTCTCCTGGCAAGCAGAGGCCATGCCACCTTCTCTGTCAGTGTGGTACCAAGGACACCAACATCACTCAATGATTGCTCCGCGTACCTATGTAGTGTGATCATTGTGGCAGAGATAAGAGACCAAAAGGCTGTATATGTTGCCAGGCCTGCTTGCCCATCTTCTGTCATTATTCCATGGCACTGGACAACTAAGTGTGCCCATTTCAATCATCTCCTACAGCATCCCAGGGAAGTGTGAATTAGCTTCTGCTAGCTGTAGGTGGAAACAGATGCATACTTGGCGACATTATGTCATAGCAGGGATGCTATTTCAGGGAAACACCTTGCAACCCCACTCATTAAATACCCCTACTCACAGTAGGGGGCCACATACTTCAACCATTGACTCCTTTCACCAACGTGCACCTGCAGTAGTCTGTCTGGGGGGGCCCTGTATGGTTTTGTGTGTGTGTGTGTGAGAGAGAGAGAGTGAGAGAGAACCTCAATCGGTGTCCCTAAGTCCCTTGAAAGTACCCCCCCCACACACACACACACACCATGTCATCCAGTCCCATATCACCGGATACCCATAGAAATTCTAGATCCACCACTCCCAAAGTAACAGTGGACCCCAACAGAGCAGTTTTACAGTAGCCCACCACTCCCATATGATGCACACTGCTTATACTGATTACAGGAATAAAAGGAAAATTTATTTAAGAAAGAATAGTGATCCAAATAGAAACAAATGCAAGTGATGAAAACAACCAAAATCATACCAGACAAAATCATAAACCTGAACGAGGGCCTAAAACAATAGATTCTTAACACAAAGTTCACTGGTTTACAGCATTTGCTAGCACTCAGAAGCTAGGATCAGTCTTTCATGAAGCTCATCACCTCCTTAGTGAATGGATCCAGAGGGTGTCTTTCCACCCTGAATCAGTCTTTTATCTTGCTCCACAAACCTGGTGATCCCTTCACTGCCTTATGATCCTTTTCACTTCCAGTAAGTTTCAGTATTTATTGTTTGCCTTTGATGGTTTTCCATTGGCTGTTCTGGATTGGTGCAAAGATAGACAAGTGTGGATGTTACGTGGGCTAGTTGGAGAGAGGTGACAACTCCTCCTCGCTTGAACGAGGCACTGCCAAGACAATTATTCTCTGGTGACTTCCTTGCATTCCATAAGAACATAATTTCCAATATAGTTATATTCCTTAAATATACACCCTAATCACATCTCACAATGATTACGAGTAACATGAAGTTACAAGCTTTCCGAACAGACCTCTTCCTTTTTGGATGAATACCATGGAAGCAGTGTATTAGGTGTAGTGAGGGTGTCAGGTCTGAGACAGAACTTGCTTGCAAAGCACAGTGAACCCTTTGCCAGCTGGCACCAATGGGCCTCCCTTTCACAGCAAAATTAATTCACTGACTACAAAAATTGGCTATTTTAAGATAGCGATGCTCTGATTCAAACTGACAAAAGCCAAGGAAATTCTTGGCAGCCTTAGAGGAGAAGCTAAGCATGGCAGTGCCACGGAGAGCAAACTCCCCTGCTGTTGCTGGAAGAGGTCCTTCCATACTAAGCACCATAAAGAAAGTCTCAAATGCATTGCCCCTGCGGTGGATGAAGAAAAGCCTCCAGTTTGCAGGGCTATTGCTCTAGCACCTGCCTTTTGGGAGCAGTGAATGAATTGTGCTTTGTGTGTATGTCACAGGTTCCAATCCTCTTACCAAAGCAGTGAAAATCCTGCCACCTTCACAGAAATCGTAACATTTAGGAGGCCAGGAAAATTCTACCACGGTGAGTCAAATGAATCCATAGTGTAACAGGCATCAATGGAGTAATCCCAGGGTTAAAATTGGTCAATCCTACATGTGTGGCCTGTTCTCCTCTGGCTTGATATCAAAGGGTCTCTAAGGCCAGACCTACAATGGCGGAGAAAATTGATTGCAAGATATGCAACTCCAGCTATTTGTACTGAGTAGCTGAAATCTACATACCTTCCATCAGTTTTCTGGGGCTGCAGGAGGTCGATGGGAGAAATGCTCCCATTGACTTCCCTTACGCCTCGCAACCGCGAGGAATATCAGCGCCGATGGGGATGCTCTCAGAGTTCAATTTATCAGGTCTTTGCTAGCCCTGCTAAATCAAACCCCGGAAGATTGAACCTCCGGTAAATGGAGACGTGGCCTAAGCATACTGGGAACTCAGAGAGGTGTGATTCAGAGGCAGAATAAGGTCTATTATGCACCGACTCTGACTCCTGTGCTTTCGGGCTATCAAAAGGCAGATGCTCAAAGTCCTTTCAGACTGGATGAGCTGTGAACAGAAGTGCTGTTGCTTTTCCCCTACAGTCAGAACAGGTCACTTCAACGCAAAGGCAAAATGCTAATTCAAGTCCTGGCAGCAGATTGGCATTGTAATCGTTCTGATGGCAGAGAGATAACCAGCCAACTCACAAAACCCTCAGAAATCAGGATTAAGAACATAAAACACAGAGTGACCCTGAACTCCAGCAGGCCTGCTGGGTGTTTCTATTATGCCTGTATTCTACATAATATGGAGTTGCCATATAAATGTGCTGTGTGCAGAGGATGACATACCTCACACAGGCAGTGAGGACAGGGGGGAAGGGGGACAGCAGGAAGGAGGCAGGGGCTGGCTCTCTTTCCTCTGCCCTGGCTATGGGACTATAAGTGTTAAGCTGTGGGCAAGGAGAGAAGCATTGGAAGTGAACATGACTTTATAAGGCTGAGCACACAGTTGTACTCTAAAAGCAGATGTGCAGATGGCGTGGTAAGTGCTACTATTCAGTACACGATTCATTTCTCTTGTTACATTTCAGTATATTTTTTTAAAGACCATGCTCCCTCCAGGGCCTCTGGGGCACTAATTATTATGCTAATACGTAAACCTTGAGAAGGCTGGCTGTTGTGAACTAATCAGCTCTTCTCCTGTTTACTTGTTTGTGTGTTAAACACTGTAGCTAAGACACAGCATAGCAAAGGGGAGGCAATGGCCTTCAGAGGATTTTACATTTTCTGGGATTGCACAGCCAGCAAATGGGAAACCACTCTCCTCTGAGCCCCTCCTGGGTCCTTTTCAAAGAAGACAATGCTCCCCTTATTCCAGTTGTTTTGAGTCTCCCAACTGGGTTTCAAGCTAGAAGTCATTCCTAACTGGACAGTGGATTTGGTGTGACATTGGCCCCAAAGGCTGAGCATGGCAGAGTTGTGTCTGCACTAAGTGGGCTAAGGCTCTTAACTGTGCAATGAACAGTCATTTGTTACAGTACCGCCACTACAATCAGGTCATGGGCCATTCAGGGTTGATGCAAGATTTGGAGAAATGGATTTTTCTTTTCTTCCAAATGTCTGATGTCTTGTATTCAGCACCATGAAGAACGTGCCAATGGGACACAGGGCCACTAATGGCTGGTTTCAAAGAAAATCTTTCAGTGAAAGAAAGGTTGCCTCTAGGCTTGAGCAAGAAAGTATGAAGCAAAGGGAGTGGTGTGTGAGTTAACAGCAGAGAAACATGTTTTTTAATGCAAGACTCGAGGGCAATTGAAAGGTTAAGGATGTTGCTAACCTTGGGCAGATACACTCTCTGCTTATGCAGCATCTAAGCTTTTCAACCAGAATATCTCAGGTCCAATAAATAAGACATGAGAAAGGTAGCTCAGTCCCTGCATCCCATGCAGTCCTTAGTCCAGGGTGCTCCTAAAAAACTGTCTGACCCTCAAGCACAATTGTGCCAGCGGTTTTCATGCTGCGAACTCGATTGAAACCAGTTGATGTAAAGGAATTACTTGAGAGTCACATTCCCATTTCCAGCTCCTGGGAGCTCGTCTATTTCACACGCTCCACATGCTGTCAATGCTGCAAATAAAACAGGCTAGCCGTTGGCAAGTAGTAAAAAGTTTTGGTCACTATTGATCCAGTCTGATTTTAAAAAGGATAATGCAGACAG